ATATATAATTCCTCGAACATGTATAATATTAAACCTTTAGAAAAAGGTGGTTGTAGGTGGCTTGTCTATTTTTCTTTCTTTATTTTGTTACTTACCTTTTTTTTTCCTTTTCGGCAAAACTAACTTGTTGTAGCTTTTATATGCATAGGAGTGTTCGAAAAAACTAGTTAGTAGTTAGAAGTTGTAACTTCCATTTATATACTAATTTTCAACAAAAGTAGTTGGAAGCCTTGAAGCTTTTAAAACATGTAAAACTGTATAAAAATGACTTACAGAAAACACGTCGTTGCTAACCTCTCCTACTGCCGAACGAAATTTTTTCTTAAAAGCTAGAAACTCTCAAAATTTACAAGTCGAACACACACAAACTCTCCTTTTTCTCTTTTGTTTTCTTTTTCAAAATATTTTGTAGCACAATACTATACCCTTTACATGTTACATATCCATGTTTGGCAAGCAGAAAAACGATTCTTCTCATTTTAAGCAAATTAATTGTCGTAACACTGCCATCTGTTAGGTAAAACTAACACAAAATTAAATCATCTTTTCTCTTAAATAATAATTATTTTTTTACATTAATTACCACAATGTATAAGTATGAAATTTGGGTTAAAGTATTCCGAGCCGAACACCTTGCAACCCCAAACATCAAAACCAAGCCCATGAATAAGAGTAGATTCGAGAACGCAAGACTTTAAATTGGGCACCACAAGAATAATGATACAAGTGGATGGAGGGTACAGATGGAAATCAACATCCTTTCATCTGATTGGCCAAAAATCTATCCAAGATTTCAGTTCATCCTACCTGGCACCATTCACTTCTTTCCTATTGATATATCAATATCCCCATATAATTTCATACCCAATTCACTAACACACACACACAAACACACTCAGTCACCACCAATACCACCGTCAACCACCTTATTTGCTCAGCAACAATGGCAGCTGCCTCCTCTGCTGCTGTCCTTAATGGATTAGGATCACCCTTCTTGTCTGGCGGAAAGAGGAGCCAGACCATGTTATCTGCACCCACCGCTGGTGCCACAGTGCCAGCCGCTCCTAGGCGGTTAGTCATCACAGCCGCCGTTGCTCCCAAGAAATCTTGGATCCCCGCCGTTAAAGGTGGCGGCAATTTGATCGACCCCGAGTGGCTCGATGGCTCGTAAGTTCTCTTCCTCTCTATGTCTGATCAAATACTTATACTGTCCCACCTAAGAATTCATAACTGTGATTCACCTATTTCTTTTACTTCTTTTTTACCGATTTTTTACTAAATTCCGTTTGACTACAGGCTCCCGGGAGACTACGGGTTCGACCCGCTAGGCCTAGGAAAAGATCCGGCGTTCCTAAAATGGTACCGGGAAGCAGAGCTTATCCACGGGCGGTGGGCCATGGCGGCGGTTCTTGGTATCTTTGTGGGTCAGGCATGGAGCGGCATCCCATGGTTCGAAGCCGGAGCCGACCCGGGTGCGATCGCTCCATTTTCTTTCGGATCTCTGCTCGGAACCCAACTTCTGCTGATGGGTTGGGTGGAGAGCAAGAGATGGGTTGACTTTTTCAACCCTGAATCACAGTCTGTTGACTGGGCCACCCCATGGTCCAAAACCGCTGAGAATTTTGCTAACTTTACAGGAGAACAAGGTTATCCGGGTGGTAAATTCTTCGACCCGTTAGCGTTTGCGGGTACGCTTAATAATGGGGTTTATATTCCGGATACCGAGAAGCTTGATAGATTGAAATTGGCTGAAATTAAACATGCAAGACTTGCAATGGTGGCAATGTTGATTTTTTACTTTGAGGCAGGGCAAGGAAAGACTCCACTTGGTGCTCTTGGGTTATAAGAGGAAATATGGTTGTGTTATTATGTAACATGTAAATTTATTTATTTAGATATATCCAACAAACTCAAACCTTAATTCATCATTCATATGTTATTTATAGTTGCAAATGCTTCTTTATTTAACATATATTAGTTAGTGGAACAAAAATATCAATTTTTTGTCCTACCAAAAAAGATGGAGCAATGTGAAACAAAACACCGGGATGTAAGCATTATCTCCCATACAATTTCACCCTTGAAAACATTAAGATATCAAGATTACATTTAACAAAAGGGTGTTACAAGAACCCCCATTGATTCATTTACTTGATACAAGTTCTACTAAAAAAGCAATAAGAACAACTTAAATTAACTCAAAAGTCGAAAATATTCAAAATTTCGACTTTCCAAATATTACAATAAACGAAAAAAACATCACTCGCTGCTACCCATAGCCATCAAGAACTCACCCTCACAAACCACCTCACCTCCCACATACGCCTTTCCATCCATCTTTGCAATTCCAAACCGTTTTTGAAGCTTTGTGAGTGTCATTCTCATGACCAAAGTGTCTCCGGCCACCACCGGTTTTCTGAACCTCACCTTGTCAATTCCGGCGAAGAAGAAACTGTCACGTGAGCCGCCCACTTCCGGTTGTAGCATTACCAAACCACCAACTTGTGCCATTGCCTACAAAAAAATAGCAATGTACTTTTATATATTAGTTTATTATAGACATTGCTATAATTGGATAAATTTTTTCAAGGTACAAGGATGTAATATAATTATATAATAAATAAATCAATTAATTTACATTGATGTTTGTTGCATTTAAATGATATGCTTGAAAGATATTTGAGAAAATGAGGCGCATTGAGGAAATTGGAAGGGAAAAATGAATAAGGAAAAATTTGTAAAATGTTGAGAGATAATGGGAAAGCCTCGTTTCGCTGACTTTCTCTATTAAATTGTTCTTTTTTGCATTAAGTCAAAAAGAAACACTTGTATATAGTTTACTAGATTAAGTGCTATATATGTTAAGTCCATTAAGTAGAAAAAAGAAACAACACATTTGTCACTTATACAGGAAGAAAGAAAAGAAAATGATTTAAGTCGATTTTTATTTTCCACTAATCTTTGCAGATTTTAAAAGTTTATTGGATAATATCATTGGTTCCTTGCTAAAATGCTACAAATTCCATGTCTAATTAAGTGTTTGGCTACTAGTCAAATATCTGAAGTACCCCTCAAAAATAGATGAATCTTGCAGATGATAATCAGTGATATGGGTCTATAACATTTCAGATATTTAAGATGTTTAACTAACAATAAAATATTTTCACTAAATTAAGTGCTTAATCCAACATTGGTTAGGGGGATGCTAGGTTTTATCCAAAACATAAAGTGTCGATCTTCTTGATGGATTCAGTATTCAGATAGTGATTATAAGCAGACCTTTAAATCTTTAATTACAATGCAAAGCAGTACTTTTTTACCTCTTTGTTTTTCTTTAATTTAAAAACTTATTAAAATCACCCAAAAAAGTACCAAAGCAATAATTTTTACATAAAAATGGCAAGAAACCATATAAATTATGAGCTCAAAAGTACAATATTCACACAAGATTTTCAAAAAGACTTGGATTTTAATCTGAACACCCAGAAAACATATATATACTACACATATAACAGTAAACGTGAACAAGATTTTTAAGGATGTACCTCAACCATAAGAACACCAGGCATAATTGGTCTATCAGGAAAATGACCAGGGAAAAAGTTGTCATTGATGGTCACATTCTTGATGCCAACTGCTGAAACTCCTGGATTGTACTCAATCACCCTGTCCACCAAAAGAAATGGAAATCTGCAACAACCAAAAAAAAAAAAACCAATAGAAATCAATGCATCAAAATTTCTACAAACAAATTAAAGCAGGACTTAGTTTTGCACAAGCAAACAAACGAAACCCGGATCAGAAATCAAACAATTCAATGAAATACGTCAAGTAAAGTACAAACCGGTGTGGCAAAATCTCACGAATCTGATTGATATCAACAACAGTAGGAAATGCAGGGAACCCTGAAACGATTGGAGATGTTAGAGAGAAAAACTGTGAAATGAAAACATGGTTTTTATAATTTGAAAAGGAAAAACGGCTTACTGAGTTCAATTGGGGTTTCATCTTTTGAGCTATCACTAGCAGTTGAAGCACAGTTGGCGATTAAACTGGTGTGGGTTGTCTTCAATTGGTTAGATACCAGAGGGGATCTGGAGATCCTTGGGATAGAAAACCCATTGAAGGAAGATACAGAGAGGGTTTTAGGGGGTTCGATTAGAGATCGGGGAATGAGAATTGAGTGGAGAGATGAGTGAATGAGCAAGAGCTGAGGAAGCCATTTAGAGGGATGATAACAGAAATGATAAACGAGTGTGGTTTTGGATTTATGGGTATTTGAGGTGGAAGAAGGCGAGAATAACGATGTGGAGGAGCTGCAGACAGCGGAGGTAGTTCGGTGGTTGGAGTGAAGAAGGCGGAGATACCGAGAGTGTTAGTGTTTGTACTTTGGAGTGTTTGGGTTCTATGACAAGTAGAAAGTGGGTGAGAGTGGGACTTTGGAGCGGATATAAACCGGGTCGAAAAACTTACAGTAAATATTTAAAAAAGTTTGAGGGTTATTTTATAGTTCATCTGATTGAGTAAGAGACAATTTAGAAAAAAGTTTGAGGGTTATTTTATAGTTCATCTGATCGAGTAACAGACAATTTGGAGCAGTCTTGATCGATTTAGAGACTTTTAAATGAGATATCCAATAGTTTGAATTTTAAGGACTTAAATTCAACATTTTATCGACCTACTAAAAAACATATCAAATAACCTCTAATGTTGTTTGGGATCGTTTTTTGAACTCTAAAAATGTTTTTGGGTAAAGTGTTTATTGACTTATCATGGTAGTAAAATGAGTTATAAAAATGTTTTGATTAGTTTTTGTAGTGATAAAAGCAATAAATCAATAAGTTAAAAAATATTTGGTTTAAAATCTCATTTTTAAAGCTATTGTAGTTAAAAAAACTAAAATGAGTTTTAAAAAGTTAAGTTTTACATGTTTTTTAAAATATCATTTTTAAAGTTTTAAAAAACTATTTTGAAAAATAATTTTGACTTAAATAAATTTTTTTAACTTATTGGTTTTTAAAAAAAATCAATAAATCAATAAGGTCCTGTTTGATAGTTTCTGTCTGGGAAAGTGCTGTTTGGTAAAGTGCTGTCTGGAAAAGTTTTCTGACTGGGAAAGAAATCATGCTGTTTGATTGTACATCTGATTGACTGTGCTGAATGATGAAAAAAAGTAATAATTCAATAAAAAATAAATTTTAAAAAAAGTTATTTAAAAAAATTAATAATCCAAAAAAGAAAGAAAGAGACGGGGTTTGGTGCATAATTGTCTTTCCAGCCCATTCAACCAGAAAGATATGATTTTGAGGCTTTCTGGGAAAGACATATCTTACCGGGAAAGACTCATTTTTTATGCAAATCAAACAGTCTTTCCGGTCCATTCAGCCAGAAAGATCTCTTTGGACCTGGAAAGATGCGTATCAAACGGGACCTAAGTTGTTTTGAAAAAGAAATCTCAAACACCTCTAAATGTCATTATATAGTAATCAGTTGTTATTGTTTTACTATTATTTAAGTTATTTGTTATTTATTTATATTCAATATATTATATATTTTTTAGATTTTGTTCCAAATTAACTATTCTAATCAAGTATAATTACCTTGTTCCGTGAAAAAACAACTTAGCATCTTAAAAGTTATACATTTTAAATTGTGTTTGCCAAGTTACAACGACCTTATAAGCTATTTTATTTTTCAAGATTTTAGTTGTTATGTTCGGTAACTCAAAATGTATATAATTGTTTTGTTTAAAATACTCTTTTATGCTATCTTATATCTTACGGCTAGTTTATCATCTAATTTTTCAAACATTATTTTTTATTAGTTAATTTTTAAACTACCAACTATTTTTTTAATTATCACTATCTATCAGTTGGCTTTTCAGTTACAGCTAACTTTTTAGTTAATAACTAACTTTTCAACTAATCTACCAAACATAGTATTAACAAAAAAAAATGCATATTATGAGGTGATCATTATTTTCATTTAAACTTTTTATTTGTGTTTAATATGTGAATATTTAATATTTACATTTAGTTTTATGTATTAAAATTATTATTATTATTATTTATTAAACTTACTTAAATTTGTAATCTATAGATATTACATAAAATAAATAATTAGTGTAGTACTTATTCTATAAGTCTTGTTATACCTTAGGAAGTATCTATAATACATGGTTGGTTATTAATCAATGCGAAAACAACCAAATTATTCTCAATATTGTTTATGGTATCCAAACTAAAGAAATTTAAACATTATGGATCTTCTCCCACCATCACTTTGAATATTATCTTGTATACCCTTCGTCTTGTATTAGAAAATTTTCACCCTCCCAACCCCTAACCTAATATCCATATTAGGAAGGAGAAGGACTATAAGTCGCCTTCACCTTGCATTAAAACTTAAGCCTTCACTTGGCCACAATTGTTGACTACTATAGTAGATCGCATAACCTAGCTAAACCACCACTAAGTGCCCCACCACAACCATTAGATAGAGAGTTTATAGTTTAAGATAATTATCTTTTTTCACGATTAAAAAGTTCACTAATTCCACGAAAAGGCCATGTCGTTTGTATGATTTTTTTTTTTTTTTTTTTTTTTTAATTTCTGACAAATGATAAACGCTCGTTTTGATCAACAAAATTCGCAAGAATAAGTTTCTGCAAGTAAACAATTTTATATAAAAAAAGATTAAAAAACAATTATATTTATTTATCTATTCATTTATTATTCCGAGATTTTAAAAAATCACTAATTCCACGAAAAGGCCATGCGTTCGTGTGCATTCGTTTTTCTTGTAATTTCTGGCAAATGATAGATGCTCGTTTTGATCAACAAAATTCGCAAGAATAAGTTTCTACAAGTAAACAAATTTATATAAAAAATAGATTAAAAAAACAATCATATTTGTGTATCTATTAACAAGTTAATATAAGATAAAAAGAAAAAAAAAATAGAAACTAGCATTTGGACCAAAAAAAGGGACCAAAATCAATATCAAATAACCATAAATGAACAAGATGCATGCACAAGATCAGGAGGTACTTACGTAAAAAAAAATAATAAAAAGACAAAACTTCAAAAATGGTCCCTGTGTTTCCGAAAATATCAAGTTTAGTCCCTAAATTCAAAAAACCTCACAGATGGTCCCTGTGGTTTCAAAACTTTTAACAAATGATCCTTTTCGTTAACTCCGTTAACATTTAGTCGTTAAGTGAAGGGCATTTCTGTCATTTCACAGCCACAGGGACCATTTATGAAGCTTTGCCTTAATTTTAAATATATATATATATATATATATATATATATATATATATATATATAATTATTTAATATTAAACACCCTCTCTCTCTCTCTCTCTCATCAAATCATTCTTCGTTGCCCCCACCATCGCATTATTCCTCACCGTTTGTCACCACCAAATTCTACCACCGCTTCCTCTGGTAAACACTCTGATCCCCATCCCATCCTTCTCTTCCTCCCTAAAAGTTCACCAAGAAATTAAGCCTGAGTAACAGACATGAAATCGATTAGCAACCCCAATGAAATCATTCATAAAATCAAGAAACGGGTTCTCCGTTTTAGTCACTGGAGCAGCCAGAAGACGAAATGGGGACAACCCTCCTCCACCCCTCCTCCTGTTGATCGGAAACAACCAAACACCCCTGAGGATCGCTGCTTCCCTCCGCTGCTACTTCACTGTTTCCTTCCCTTCCTCCCTTGTGTTTTTTCAATGGAACAGAGAAAGGAACGACCAAGGAGGCCACCGGAGCAACCCCCTTGCTGTAACAGTCACCCAACATCATAAGTTGCCTTCGTTTTCTTCCTTCATTTTGGCGATTGTCCAAACCCCCCACCGAACCACATCTGCTTCCATTCTTCTTTCTCCATTCGATCCAGTGTTTCCCATTCCCCTCGATTTGTGATCGCCGGCGATGAGAGAAGAGCCAAGGGGAGTTTGCCGGAGATCGACTCCCTTCTTGCGATCTATTTAACCATCAGACCACCATTTTGACTGCTTTCATTCGTGTTCCTTCTTCCCTTTCTCGATCAATGAAGAAGAGGCGTAAACCAACAAGGGGTTATCGGTCTCGACGGACACCCTTTTCCCTCCTCGTGATTTCCCAGCCGCACTGGACCTCCCATCGATGTGCCTTTCGTTCGTCTGTTCCTTGCCCAATCTGATGGATACGATGATTATTCAAGGTCAAAGTTGGTTTGGCTTTTTGGGGAAGATGAAGCTATAAGAATACGTACTGTACAAGCCTCAAAGTAATGGGGGGGGGGGAGAGAGAGAGAGAGAGAGAGAGAGAGAGAGAGAGAGGAGAGAGTGAGTGAGTGAGTGAGAGTGAGAGTGAGATCAAATTTCTTTCATTTTTTCTTTTTTTTTAATAAAAAAATTAAGATAATAAGAGAAAACCTCATAAATGGTCCCCAGATATTGAAATGACGAAAATACCCCTCACTTAAGGGGTAGAAAGCTGACAGAGTTAGGCGTAAGGACTAAATATTAAAAGTTTTGAAACCACAGGGACCATCTGTGAGGTTTTTTAAATTTAGGGACTAAACTTGATATTTTTGAAAACCACAGGGACCATTTTTGAAGTTTTGTCTAATAAAAATAAAAACTCTTTTTTCGTTTCGCTCCTACTCTTCCAAAGGTGTCCCCCCTATGCAACTAGGATAATGATCTAGACGTAGTTGGAATGTTCATATGAAGGCACGCATTACCCCATAAGCTACAAGTAAGTTTATTTAATTATAGTGTTGTTTCTTTGAACACAAGCTCACAAGTTTATAAATAATGATACATTATTAATACCTCATATTTTATAATCTTACTCCCTTAATTATTAGTAAAAGTTTGGTAACTTTACTGCAAACCTATATACTACACTTTTGAGGCTCCTATTTATTTTTATTTTTTTACCCGGGACTTCTATTTTTTTCTTTTTTAGTTTTTGTTCAAAATTAAGGCTAATCATTAACCATAAAAATCAGGGGTGGGTTATTGCTCACAATTTTTTTTATTAACCTCCATAAAACTTATCTGTGGCTTTTATTTTATTTTATTATTTTTTTTTGTGTTCATAATTTACCCATCTGTTTTACATAAAAAAAAATTAAATATTTTTTAATTTTGTTTTTTCATATGATATTTAATTTGTGGTATTTATAACTTTTTTCTCATTCTAAACTTAAGCCTGAGCGTGAAGTAATAGAATTTTAAAATAACAGTCTATCTATTTTAAAAGTATGACATTTTATACCTTTATATTTATATCTTTTATAGTTTTTGCATATATTTATTTATTTTAACAAAAAACATCAACTTTTTTTTATCAAAACATTATTTAATATAATTTATTTATTTATTTATTCTTTTTTAATAAAAATATCAATTTTTATAATACTTTTTAATAGATTAATGGTGTGTCGTGTTTTAACTTTTTTTTTAATTGACGACAAATACTTACGCATATTTTATAAAAATAGTGTTAATAAATTATCTATAGAATAAATAAAATAAATAAATATTTTAGTAAACAGATTTATAAATATTAATTATTCATATATTAAAAAAACTATTAATTATAAATATGTTAGTAAAAATATATCATCATAACCTAATTATCATAGTAAAAAGTATGTCATCATAATCTAATTATTAGAAATTAATCATTACGGGTAGTGATAAGTATGAAGGGGGTAAGGATAAATGATGCCTTATAAATAATACAGATTACAAGATGCATAAAGGCAAACAAACGGAGTGGGCTTGAACCTTGCATTTAACTAGACTTTACATAACTGCCCCTTTTTCATAATTTTTGAAACAGGTTTGATTCTACAACTTTACAACCTAACCCGATTTTTACAGTCATTTTAGAGGGTGTTTGGGATTACTTTTTAGCTTCAAAAGTCTTTGTTGTAAAATGACTTTTGGTAAAATGGGCTTTTAAAATTGTGTTTGGATTAGTTTTTGAGGGGCAAAAAGGACATTTAATGTTGTTGAGTGGGAGAGTGTTTAATGATTGGTAAGTTTAAGAGTATTAATGTAATTTATTTTCTATTTGTTTCAAAAGTCACAAAAAATCAAGTTTCTAGGACTTTTGAAAGATAAGAATTTTGTTGTTTGCCAAAAGTTGTTTCAAAAGATCGTTTACACTTCCCAAATAACTTTTGGATTTTTTTGACTTTTTGTAAAAAATCAAAAGTCTAAAAATTGTTTTAAAAGCAATGTCAAACACCCTCTTAATCCCATAACTAACCAGCCCAGTTGCGAACTAAGATAACCATGGCCTCCCTAATATTTTAACTACTAACTATACAATATATATATATATATATATATATATAGATATTATATATATATATATATATATATATATATATAATTTCAACAATTTGATAACTTTTTAATATTTTGTTTTCTATTTTTATTTTATAATTTTAGTTATTTATGGTTTTTTTTAATGTTTTTATTTATTTTGATTTAAGTAAATAAACTTAAATTTGATAAACCATATCGAAATCAATTTTTTTTATTTTTCTTATTTGTGAATTGAAGCATTAAATTTTTTTTAAAAAAAATTATGTTGTTACGGTTGATTTTTTTTTACTTTGATGCTCCATAGTTAATATCGTTAGCAACTTTATGTTTGTATATATCATTATCATTACTTCACCTTTGGTTTTCTACATTTTTTTTATAATTTTAGTTATTTATTATTCTTCTATTGTTTTTATTTATTTGATTCAAATAATGAAATATAAAAAAATAAAAATTCAAACACCACAATTGTAATATACTCTAATATATTAATACATTTTACAATTATCATATTTTTTTATTTTTTTCTTGTATTTTTTAGTATTATTTTATTAATTTTTTCGTATTATATTTTAGTTTTTTCCTACTTTTTATTTTTTTCGTTGTTTTGTTTTATTTTTTTTACCAATTTGATAAAAAAACTTGACATTTTCTAAAAGTGTTAAATGTATCAATATATTAGAGTATATTACAATTCTGGTGTTTGAGTTTTTTTGGTTTTCTATTTTTTTTAATTATTTTGGTTTTTTATGGTTTTTGTAATTTTTTTATTTTGATTCGAGTAAATTAAAAATTTATGTTTATTTTTTTATTTATATTTGTAAATATAACTATTTTATTTACTCGAATCAAAATAAAAAAAGTTACAAAAACAATAAATAACCAAAATTATTAAAAAAAAACAAAAACAAAAAAAAAAACACAAACACCAAAATTGTAATATACTCTAAATAATATTCATTCATTTTACACTATTTGGAAAATGTCAAAAAAAATTATAAAATTGATGAAAAATAAAACGAAACAACGGAAAACAAAAATAGAAAAAATTAAAAAATAATACGAAAAAATTAAAAATAGTAATAGGAAAAAAAATTTTAAAAAATACGAAAAAACCAAAAAAAAACATGAAAAGTGTAAAATGTATTAATATATTAGAGTATATTACAATTTTGCTATTTGAGTTTTTGTTTTCTATTTTTCTATTTTTCATTACTTGAATCAAAATAAATACAAACATTAGAAGAATAATAAATAACTAAAATTATAAAAAATAGAAAACAAAATGTAAATTAATGATAATGATAAATGCAAACATAAAGTTGCTAATAATATTAAATATGGAGCATCAAAGTTTAAAAAATATGAACCATAACGGCATAAAATTAAAGAAGAAAACATTAATACTTCAATGCATAAATAAAAAAAATTAAAGAAAAAACGATTCCGACGTTGTTTATAAAATTTAAGTTTATTAATTACTTGAATAAAAATAAATAAAAACATTAAAAAAAACCATAAATAACTAAAAATATAAAATAAAAATAGAAACCAATATGTTAAAAGATAAAAAATAATTAAAATAATAAAAAAGTTATCAAATTGTTGAAATTATATATATACATATCTATAAAATTTATATTTATAATTTTTATATACACAAAATTTATATTTATAATTTATATATATACAAAATTTCAAATTTACATTATTATACAAATGATCATTGATGTTTGTAGTACATTGCAAATTTGGTATAAGTGTAAAATAGTTTTTTTTCATTAAAATCTAACAACTGAAAAATTAGATTTAACGGTAGGAGAACCTTTCATATAATTTTGCAAACCATAAAGATTAGTGTCGTGACGTTTTCCTTGAAAGTTTTCAAAATGAAATATTTTACAAACCATAAAGACCAATTATGAATTTTGTAAAAAAAAGGTTCTATTAAAAAAAAGACATTTTCCTTATATTTAAACTCTTATTTATATAATTGTCATTATTACACTTTTATTTATATATAACTGTTATAATTTACATTTAGATACATAATAATCATTTCTACAAAATTTTCAAATTATACTGAAACAGCAACGACTTCATGTAAGCCACGTTTCCGTTTCCGTTTCCGTTTCAGTTTTGTTTTCGTTCTCGCACCAAAAACGTCACGCCGGGGAACTGCCATAGCTACCACCGTAGATGGACTTCCCTCCCCAAATCCCCGGCGTATCTCCTCCCTCTTCCTCCCAAACACTCACGCACGCGAAACAACATGACAACAATGCCGGGCTGGCAATAGCGACTACCACCACAGACGACGAACACACGAATTCCATCTCCAATTCGAAAGCCCGTTCTCGCATCCAGCTATTGTCAGCCCTTTTAACCGGTGATGAATACGACACCGGAGACCCGAACCCGATTTCATCCCTGGCGGACTCCGATCGACCAGCACGATCCCTCTTGTCCTCCGGCACCGCATACAGCGCTGTATCATCGTCTCTAACTACCTCCCATGCGTCTGCCGCCGGAGACGGTCCAATCTGCCACTGGCTGTATGACACCTTTCTCTCCGATGATTCCGACCTCCGTCTCGTAGTCATCTCCTTCATCCCTCTCCTCGCCGGCATCTATTTTTCTCGTATCCACTCTCTCTCCTTGCCTCCTCCATCAGTTGCTGGATTAGAAGCTGTTCTCATTGCTGTATATTCATCGGAAACAAAGTCTCGTGCCGGGAAACCTATGCTCATTTCCATCCCCGATCTCTCTCAACCGTCTCTCTATCACTATCCTAGGGTTGTCAACACCATACAAAACCCTAGCTCATCTAAATCCAACGATAATTCTCAATCTCAGCCTTCTCAGCCTACGATCACAGTCGTATCACCTCCGCTCGAGCCACAAACAGCTATAAAATCAACGAAACGCGCTACGATTGTAGGAGTTGCTTTAGACTGTTACTACAAGCAGATCTCTCAAATGCCAGTGTCGTCGAAACTTGATTTCTGCAAATATGCCACTGATTGGGCTGGCCAGGATTGCCCTTGCAAGTCTGAATTCGACCAAAAACCCCAAACCACCATGATTACTGATACCATTAGTACAGAAGAAATAGAAAGCGAGGAGAATGTTTTGGAACAGATGAAGAATTTGCAGATCAATGATGGATATTCTAACAATATAGCGAGAGGGACTAGAATTCCACTTCCATGGGAGCTATTACAGCCAGTTTTGAGGATTCTGGGACATTGTTTATTGTGCCCCTTGAATTCTAACGATGTGAAAGATGCAGCATCAATGGCAGTTCAGTGTTTGTATGCAAGATCCTGTCATGATTTGGTTCCACAGGCAATATTAGCAAGTAGGAGCCTGGTTCAGCTTGATAAGAGAAGTCGTGAATCTGCTGCTTCCATGGTGAATCCAGTAAGTTCAAATGATAGCTCCCCGACTGAATCTATGAAACCAGAAACCTTTTTGCTCCCAGAATGAAGACAGAGTATACTTTTGTTATCTTTACAGGTTAGTGTTTGATATTTGCATGTAGCTGTAGAACAATGCAGTGTAAGTAGTAAATTTTTTCTATAATTTGCGGCTTAAACAAGATGAGAGTTCATTTGGCTAAATATCTTTTTGAATCTGAATCTGCATTCACTTTGATTTGATTCTTGAATGATGTTTGCTTTAATTTGATGATATTCCATGCTGATTTTGTCTTGCTTGTTGGTTTCTTTAAACTGCCAAATGTTCAAGAAATTGTTGATAAATCAAGTTCACTTGTGGTACCATTATGATTATTTTTCTGGTTATGACTTGATTCTTGAATGATGTTTGCTCTAAACCTTTGTAAGGTGGTGTTTCCTTTTTACTGTTGGAGTCAAAGGGTAAATGGTCATTTAGTCTCATTCAGATAGTTCAATTAGTTTAATAAAGAAATATACTTCATGTATGCAACACTTTACATAGACAAACATCATTGCTCGTTTAACCACTTTATCCATATAAGTTGACTTATTGTGGAAAAAAGTTACATGTTAATCTGGTAGGCTATATATGGGTGCTTCTTTTTTGACTTAATACAAAAAGAAAGACTGATTACAGAAAGTCAAGAAAATGAGATTTTCATTTCTGCCAGATGTGCTTTTTCTTCCACTTTTCCAAAGTGTGCACGTCGTTTTTCTCAAATATTTTTTGAATGTTATTTCCTTTATGAATAGAATGTTAGTTGATTTGACATGGAAATAGTTTGCATAAGTAATGTAGAAAGTATGCTATGTGAAATGTTATGAGAGTCGGATGAATAAGAGAAAGAGAATGAAGTTTTCAAAGAAAATCTACAAGTAGTACAAGATGATATCGAGAATCCTAAGGAAAATCTAAAACTAGGGTAAATATGATATGGTTCCTAATGAAAATTTACAAATAGTACAAGAAGGTGTCCAAGTGCACAATACAAATCCATAGTATAAGATGGTGTCCAAGTGCACAATACAAATACACAATTAGTAGAAGATGATAATGATTAATGCGATGCATATCAAGAAGTAGATGAAGATCAAGAGGAAAATAACAATTACCTCTAAGGTACCATGCAACTATACATTATGTTTTGTTAAATGATTTACATATATTAATAATTTAATAATTATACGTGTCTGTGGCACGTGTGTGAAACAGTTCAAAAATCAACCACAAAAATGTTGAGTATCAACAAAAAAAAATGAAACATAAAAATATAAAGAGACGTGAGAAGTGGACAGTTTAAAAGACACAAAAATTATGTTATAATATTCAACTATGAATATTGTAACATAATATTTTTTTCCATATTTAAAATATATCTGATTTATTAATATAAAAAAATATAGAATTATTAACTAAGATATGTTTTTGAATATTAAACAGATATAAAAAAACAAAAATAATAAAATAAAAATGGTACCTAAAGTCCAACCACAAACTAAAAGTTTATATTAAAAACAGATGTGAGATTTATAAATTTTAGGATGATTATTATTATTACCTTAACTTTTTCAGAATATTCTAAAGTTACCAAATAAATGATTTTATGTTTTAAAGAGTAACCAACTCATTTTTCTTTATGATTACCTCTTATCTTAAGATGAATAGGTTTTCCTTCTTACAAATTTTATATTTTTGGCCTGTATTATAACAAATTTGGTATGAACTTAAAGGTTTTTTTTTTCAAATTTGTCCAATATAGTTTTTTTTTATAAAATTATTTCACTACAACTTTTTAAGAATGATTTATAAGATTTTTTTTTTCAACTTTTGTATTGTATCATATACATTAGCAAACCAATTTTTCTAGATGATTGTGTGACACTTGAATTTGATGAAATATTATATAATCGTTGTTTTTACTATTTCCTTTGATTTTAAATCATATATGTTATTTCATCTGTGACATCCTCATTTTTACGGTCAAAAAAGACATTTTTATTTATCTTTATTTTAAATCAGAGTATTCTTTTATGAATGCATAATTTGTCCCATAAAAGTATTTCTGAATAAATATTTTTCATTGATTATTAAAAACTTAGGATGTCATAACTGATACAAGAAACATAAGTATAAACGTAATCATTACCGACCTTACAACATCTTTTATACTATGGCCTATATTTCCTCGAATCTCTCATCGGATCCGGACATCATTATCTTTGTATTGCTTCTTGTGATACAAAGAAACTGGGTAGGTCAGGTTGGGAAACCTGGTGAGTACAAAGGGTTTTCAACCCACGATAATATAATTAATACGTTTAATTATCTATCAAACAATTAACCCAGTTATTCACCCACGTTTTCTTCTATATTCATCTCTAAGGATCTATCCTAAGGATCATCATGAACATCGTTGCTGACAATACTGTTTTAGGGATTTCTCCACAATACATGTCAGTAGGACCTATCCTAAGGATCATCGTGAGCATCGTTGCTAACAGTACTGTTTCAGGGATTTCTCCGCAATACATGTCAGTAGGAGTCTAGTACATCAAATGAACACATAGTCCATCACCAGCAGGTTATAAACATGCCTCGTGGGATCCAAACATCATTATCTTTGTACTACTTGTGATACAAAGAAACTGAGTGGGCCAGGTTGGGAAACCTAGTGAGTACATAGAGTTTTCAACCCACGATAATATAATTAATATGTTTAATTATCTATCAAACAATTAACCCAATTACTCATCCCCATTTTCTTCTATATTCATCTCTAAGGATCTATCCTAAGGATCATCATGAACTTCGTTGCTGACAGTACTGTTTCAGGGATTTCTCTGCAATACATGTTAGTAGGACCTATCCTAAGGATCATCGTAAACATCGTTGCTGACAGTATTGTTTCATGGATTTATCCGTAATACATGTCAATAGGAGTATAGTACATCAAATGGACACATAACCCATCACCTACAGGTTATAAACATGCATGTGTCCCATGTGACTGCCTTGAATAGTTTGTGGTCGTCACCTATACTCTGTTAGATAACTACATTGTTAGTACACTAGTACTATTTGTACATCGTTAGTACACTAGTACTATTTCTACATTGTTAGTACATTAGTACTATTTCTATATCGTTAGTACACTACTACTATTTCTACATCGTTAGTACACTAGTCTATTTCTACATTGTGAGTACACTAGTACTATTTAAAGTCATGGCATATTATCATTGTTTTCATCTCTCATCACCCATCACCCTCATCATTTATCATCTTTCGTCACCCAACGCTACCCAATATTATAAGTAGGGATGAGCATTAGAACCGCCGGAACCGGAACCGGACCGGAACCGAACCGGAACCGGAATTGGTAACAAGGTCCGGTTACCGGTTCTCCAGTTTTATGAAAACCGGTCCCGGTTCTAAAAACCGGAACCGGTTTAACATTTTTTTCGTTTTTTAAAATGCACATAACTCACTCATATGAAGTCGGATTTAGTTGATTTTTTTTCCAACATGTAATTTGGAGTTTGTAATTCATTTTTGACTCTACAAACATGTATTTTGGTTAGATATTGAATCAGACACATGCCCCGGAAGAAAAAATATTGATGCTGCGTTTTTTCTATTTCAGCACTTTTTTGTTTTTTTTTTGAATTTGTTCCGTTTTTTAAATGTGCATAACTCATTCATATGACGTCGGAATTACTTTATTTTTTTTCCAACATGTAATTTGGTGTTTGTACTTCATTTTAGACTGTACAAACACATATTTTGCTTAGATATTGAATTCGCTATAGACCCCGGAAGACAGCATATCAATGCTGCGTATTTTTTGTTTCAGCATTTTTTTTAGAATCTGTCCCGCTTTTAAAATGCGCATAACTCACTCATATGAAGTCGGAATTACTTGATTCTTTTTTCATCATGTAATTTAGTGTTTGTACTTCAATTTAGAGTCTAAAAAGTCATAATTTGGTTAAATATTGAATTATTTACAAGCTCCGAAAGATAACATATCGTCTACAACATTTCAACCGGTTCTAATTTGAAAAATAACCGGAAAATCGGGACCGACGCTAGAACCGGCGGTCCGGTTCCCGGTTCTTATAATATAGGAAAATCGGTTCCGGTTCCGAACCGGTCCGGTTCTAAAGCTCATCCCTAATTATAAGTATAAAAGTACATGTACGGTAGAAAATCATATAAAGATCATCTTATATTATTTCATTTAACACATAACATCTTTATCGTAGATAATAAACACATATAACATTTAATTATCTAAATACTTCATATCTATGTGTAAGATGAAAGTAATTATGCACTCACTTGTTAAAAGTGGAAGACTAGTGAATTCGGCAGCACTTCACCTTGGCACTTAGCTTTTCCTTTGATGTGATCCAAGTGAAACATCCAAAAATTATGACCCAAAAATTTCATTTTTTATTTAAGTAAAAATAGTAATCCACAACATTTTTCATAAAACCCAAATAAATAAATGTGTCAACATCATGAAAATCAGAGTATGTCCCATAAACATAATCCATATGGTGTGTACGATGCAGTTAACTCGAGCTCTTCCCCTTGGAACCGGAAGTACCTGAAACATAAACTAAAAGCCGTAAGCACAAATCTTAGTGAGTTCCCCAAGATACCGCATACCAAACATATCATATAACGGGCCCCACCCAATGAGATACGGGTCCCACCCAATAAACATACATATACAAGCACATACAAGTATCACACAGACCATAAGTATATCAACATAACCAATCAAGGGTCGGCCTTGGTGCCTTGGACCCGCTAAACTGTCACACCCCCGGAACCAGACGGCGGAAACGTCTGGGGGCTAATGCGTGACTTCATCTTGTAATATCATCACAATGTATATAAATGAAACAAGACAACACCATCATCATACATATCAAAATACAACCAGCATTGTTTACATCAAGTATAGTATCATAAATTACATGCCAAGATATTCAATGTATGATGATAACAAAATATAT